AGAATGCGAGGAAGAATAGGCATGCTTTAATGCTCTTCTAATGCATCAGCCTAACAACAAAATGGTAAATGATTAACGGATTAGAGACTTAACACTACAAGCTGGTTTTGACACGAAGGCTGAAACAAAGGACAATCCAAGGCTGATTCGGAAGGTAAATTGACAAGAGACAACACTGAATGAAATTAACACTTCAAGAGCATGGATTTCCAAACTCAAAACAAACAAGTAGCAACTGCCTTTACGACCTTGCTCCTTTCAAAATCGAGTGACGAGTATTGACAAATAATGGAGGGGCTTACGCTTAAGACAGAGCAAGACGCAGCCAATATGGGTTTGGAAACAAATATAAAGTAGTTAAACAAAATGAATACACAAAATGGTTCAAGCATGATACTCTAGAATAAATAAAAAATAAAAAAAGGCTACTGCCTCTAACGAACAAATGAACAAAATAACATACAAATTTCATATCACTAAATTTTCAAGATTTTTCCTTAGTTTGAAAAGAATAACAGCATTACAGTAGCATAGTAGCATAAAAAATAATGAATAAAACTCTAGATTATAAGAGACAACGAGGATAGGAGGATACAGACTCGAAGACACTAAGGCGAGCATACAAGAAGCAAAATAGCAAGAGTGGGTTCGAACAGGGGAGGAGAGGAGAAGTGATGCTAATACATAACATAACATTAATTCCATATCAAAACCAAATCGTAATAGAGCATTGCATTAATAAATTACCAACTCAACCACTAATAGCGAACCAGTCACTTAATGAAGTTTTTCGACATAAAAAAAATTATCGCCTTTAAAACGGAACAAGAGATAAGGAAGATATTATAATGGAGGAGGCATTACCTTCTTATATGCAGCGAAACAGGGACAACACGAGTTGGAATTACAACCTTCACCACGCGAAATTCGTAACACGAACAGTAGCTAAGAAATTTGGGCGAGAATATCAAACCAAAAAGACACAAAAAGAACAAAGTCCCTCCTCTATTTCTCTTTGAAATGTGTTTTTTCAGGTATGAGTTACTTTGGATGCCTTAGTTGAATTATTTTTTATTTATTTTTTCACTCCCCATCCCCCTTAATACTGAAAAGAACAAGAATATTTATAGAAGGGTATTAGGGTTCCAAATCGGAGGGAAACGGATTGGAAAAACGGATAGACAAGGGACCAATTCGAAATTCAAAAATCTTTCACAAATAAGGAGAGGCAACCTTTTCTCTGAAATTTCACTCATTCCGGAAGAGGAAAGGGTGAATCGACGTTTGTGATTGATCTCCCGTCCTTGGGGCGCAACGTGGCATCATCTCACGATGCTAAGACAATTTTCGCGTGCCTGGTTGCTGAAACGTACTGCTGGAACAGTACTGGGTTGTTGCTCATTCTAGGTTTGGCAGCGTACTGGTCACGCGAGAAAGAAGAAGAGAGTGATGGAGTCGGGTGGGTGTTGTATCCCTGCTATATGGAATTTGGTGTTAACGTTGAATTTAGAAGGGGAAAAGAGGTTGGGTCGGGTCGGTTAGGATAAAATTTGGACGGTTGAATTAATGAAGGGAAATTGAGGGATTAAGATTGGTCCAAAAGTGGGCTGAAAAGAATTGGATCTGGGATTAAGTGAAACGTTGGGCCGCTGGAAATTGAGAAAAGAATGGCCCAACTTGGTATTTTTACATAGATAAATGGAATACTAATTCAACCAATTTGAATTGTAATTGGCTAATTCGGCTAAATTTTCGATAAGACGGATTAATATATTCTAATTAATGAGTTTCTCAATGTTAACGAAATAAGAATAATTAACTCAATTATAAACTAAATAACTTAAAATATAAGCCATTAGATAACTACACTAATTAACCAAATATTTAACGAAATCTTTTGAGGCGGTCTTCGAATATTCACAAACTATACTAATTATATACAAAATTATATAAGACATATATATTATTTAAAAATTATAAATAAAAAAAAGCAACAAAACTACTTAAAATAATTTGAAATACGTTTGAATTTTAGAGAGCCAATTATTTCAAATCGTTTGGATTTAAGAAACTCGCAAATTAATTATTATCGAGGAGGGTCAAAATTGGGTGTCAACAACAATGAATACATAATACATAGAATAAGTTGTATTCAAAATAAATTGTATTTATATTTCAATATCCAGTTTTGTTATATTATTATTTCACTTTACATTTGCAGAAAGTATTTTCTGGCTCAGTTTTTATTTTCAAATAATCAGGTTGTATTTCAATAATCATTTTGTATATCAAACGCAGAATGAATACCAATAATTTTGTATTCCCCTTCTTGTGATGTATTCGTCGCAATTTTATATATTATGTATTCATAAAAATTATATTGCTTTAGCCAAATAAAATGCAAAATATGTCTTACTAAGTTTGTATTTCAAATATCAGGTTATATTTCAGTATGATTTTGTTTTTCAAACAAAAAAAATGAATACCAATTAATTTCTGATTGATTCAGCCATTGTAGACAATCAGATGTTTTCCCCAAAATCTAAAACCCTAAAAGCAAATTTCGATATTATCAAAATATAAATGTATTAAATATCAAACAAAATAAACATATAAATGAATTTCTAGATTCTACAAAATCTGAAAAATTAAAAGAAATAACAAAAAAAATTGAAAAAAATAGTTTAAAAGAATAAAAATCTGAAATACATAAATATTTGATGAATATCTAAACAAAATCACATAAAAATAAAAAAATTGACTGGAAATCCGTAATATATAAATCCGGAATATACACCATAATCGGTGATTTTAAATAACAAATCAAAATAAATCTAAATAACTTATGGAAATTACCTTGCCAATCGAGAAATCTCTTGAATTAATAAAGAGATTTTGTTTAACAATTGAGAAAATTTCTTGAATTAAAATATATATTTTGATGAACAATTTGTGAGCACCTTGAAGAAAGAGAATATGAAAACGTGAAAAGTGTGGGTAGAAATGAAAGATGAAGAAGGAAAGTTAATGGGTATTGGTTTAATTTATTTATTTATTTAAACAGTTATTGGTTTAGAATTTGGTCTAATATAGGATTGTTTTCATAAATAAAATTAATTTTAAATAATAAAATCTGAATACATATTATTTTCTAAAAATATTACCATTCAGACATTTTAAATAAATATTTTAAAGTGTTATTGTTTTGACTAATTATATTAGATATTATGACTTAACTGCTAATTTTTCCTAAAAAAATTCTTAGATGGTGCTTATATAGCCCTACTATGACTACATATTATTCTGTAGTATTTAGAATTATACATTCTAATCATAAATTATATTAAATTAATATATTATAAATATACTAATATTAGGATACTACAGTAAAATCTCTGTAAATTAATATAGGTGGGAGTATGAAATTTTATTATTTTATAGAGATGTTATTTAATTAATAAATTAATATTTATTAATTTAAAGAATGGTTTGAGATTTAATGAAGGTTAATTTTGATTATATCAAAATCATTGTATCTTACTAATTTATGTATCATATTTATTGATTTCACATAAAAAAATTATTATATTTAAAGTACAATGAATACATTAAAATCATTGTATCTTACAAATTTATGTGTCATATTTATTGAATTGTCACTATCGTGCAAACAAAAGAGCATGGATGACAAGTGTGCTTTTTGATGAATATATTCGTTGGTTTGACCACAAAATACATGGTAGACGAGTTTTGCTTATAGTAGATAATTGTCCCTCCCATAATAGAAATATTGAATGACTACAAAATGTTAAATTGTTTTTCTTGCCATCCAACATGATTTCCAAAATTCAACCTTCTAATGCTGGGATAATAAGAACTTTCAAGATGTATTATCGTAGGATATTAGAAGGTTATGAAGTGGAACAAACTTATCCAACAAAGATTAATGTTTTGGATGCTATCAATTTTGCAATCCTTGCTTGAACAACACATGTTAAGCAAGAGACAATAGCAAATTATTTTCGATACTGTAAAATTCGCTGGGGATGCAATCTCAGAGAATTTAAATGAATCCACTTGTGAAAACGTATTCATGAACTTAAGGTAATGATTAATGATCTCAGTTACCATAATAAAATGGATGTCAATAACCTGTTGGATTATCTGGGTGAAAATGATACATGTTCAGAGGTCCAGAGCTTAAAAGAAATTGTGGACACAATCGAAAAAAGTAATGTTGATGATGAAGTTGAAAATGATACTATAACTTTGGAACCAGTTACGCGTAAGGAAATACTTATCGCATCTAGAACTCTTCACAATTTTATGGTGCAGTTCGAAAACACAACACCAGAGCTCTTTTGCAATCAAAAAAGTTAGAGATAAGCTTCAACTAGATTTAATTTTTTTTAAAATACAGAACACAATAGAATTATATTTCACTAAATTGTCTTATATATATTTGTACTTTTAAAGAATTATTAATTTACGATATTAATGGGATCATATATTTATATAGGGGTCTTCTGGAAATATATTATTCTTTATCTTATCGAAATTGGTAATTGTTTCATTGGCCCAAGTCGGAACCAAAAGGAAAATATTACTTTAGAGAAATTATTAATTTACCGAATATTAATTTATAGAGGTTTTACCGTATATAGCTTGATCCTAAATTATATTACTTTCTATCAGTAAAAAAGTTGTCTATATCCACACTCCAAAGTAGAGTTAAATGATGATGTAAAGGTACCCACGAGAAATGTGCACTAAAGAAAAAAACAAAACTAGTACTATAACATTTCCATTTTTGCTAGTGCTATCTATAATCATGCCATAATATATACTAAAACGAAGAAAAAAACAAATTAATACAACTAATTTTGTAAATTATGACGCACTTAATCCACCGTTTTGCCGTCTCAAAATTAGTATAAATACACTACACTCAATTTACAATTATATTCATTCCATAAAAAAATCATCTCAATATATAGAAATTCAAGAAATTAAGTAATCATGAAGGCTATTGCAATACTAGTTCTAGTTGTGCTAGCTGTGGTTCAGCTAGCAATGGTTGCACGGGGCGCAATCACTTGTGGCCAAGTGGATGCTAACTTGGCACCCTGTGTCTCATTCCTGACACAGGGTGGCGAGCCCGGTGCAGCATGCTGCAGCGGGGTGAAAACCTTGAATGGTAACGCTCAGTCCTCTGATGATAGAAAGACTGCTTGCAATTGTGTTAAGGCTGCTGTGAATCGATACCCCAACCTTAAAGATGATGCTGCTCAATCTCTCCCTAGCAAGTGCGGCATATCCGTCAACGTCCCTATCTCTAGGACCGTCAACTGTGACACGTAAGAGTTTAACTTATGTATATTGATAATATGAAATATTTTTTTGTAGTACTTCTATCCTTCTATTTCAACTTATTCTGATGAATTTATTTTTAAAATAAATTGGAAATAATTAAGATTTTATATTTTTATTTTCTTACTAATGAAATGATTAACGTCAGACAAGTAATTTTGTTCCTTTTTTTTTTTTTGCAGAATCAGTTAAAATCAGCTGGATGGTTCTGGGAATATTCTTTCCTCAATGTTGTTATAATGTATTAAATAAACCAAGGGTTGTTAAACCCTTGAACGTTGTAAACATACTCAAAATTACTATGAATTAATTTGAGTATATATGTTGTTGTTCAACTAATGTGTTGTTTTTTTTATAATAAGAGTTCAAATGATCGATTAATACATAAACTTTGTTTTCTTATTTTTGCTTTTAACGTATATCTTTTGCCTATAATAAGAGTTTAAATGGTTTAAGCATAAAGGTAAACCCCTTTCCGTTTATTAAAAGTACTTTTTTTATAGGCCAAGCCAGTGTTTTAAAAGGCGCGGGCGTGAGGCGGGGTGTTTTACTTAGTATAGGGCGAGGCGTAAGCCTTGATACGTGGGGCGTAAGCCCTATGGATATTAATTTTTTTATTTATAATATAGTATAACTAGGTAAATTATCCGTTTTTCGCACGAGTTTGAACTATTTTATTACGCTTATATATGATCATTCGGTAATATTAGTATTTTCGACACATACACTAAATTGTCAAGAACATTTTATCTTAAGGCAAAACGTTCCTACGAAATATCAAAGTGCTATATTTTTAAAATTTTCGTTTTTGTTATACAGAACTATGAATCATAGAGAGATTTTAAGTATAAGAAAGAAGTCTAAGAAAATATCCATGGAAATAGTTGGTCAGAGTAATGAAATTTTCTAAATTCCAAGAAGTTATACAAAACAACATCAGACGTTAAAGAATAGACCAAAAAGCATCGAACAACAACACTCTCAAGTAAAGTGGATCATCGTGTCCATACAAGAACATAATTAACTAAATTCAAATGGAGGACCTTCAGTTCCTTTCTTATGAACCTACATCAATCTCTTTTTATTATAATATGTCGTATCATGTATATGTTAAAAATGACCCTAGAATTGTTAGTATCATAAAAAAATTTCCTCATTTTTCTCAGAATAGTCATTACTATTGCTTAGGTTTCATTACCGGCCCGAACTTATTTGGAATTGAACCATAGTTATTGTTATGGTTATAGTATGCATTTACAAAGAATTAATGCAATTATCATCTAATCAGTAAGTGTCATCTGAATGGAACTGTTCACAAATGGATATTCTAAAAAAAAAAGTGACACATAACATATTAATATCTCACATTATAGTTTTGTAAGCACTTGAACTCACAAATATCCACATCCACAAATAATAATAAAGACGACCTTACTTTCCTAACAATCAAGAAGAAAAAAGCATGTTGCTAAACATATTTTTCAAAAAGTTAGTCTGTCGGACTGTATTCAAGTTTACAGTTCACAAATTTAATTGAAAGAAGCCAAAAGAAAAAGTTATTACTTCTTTATTAAAAAAAACCAAAAAAACATTTATCAAAAGAAAAAGTTATCACTACCGAAAAAATGATCTTTAACGATAATTAATAGCTTAATTGTTGCTAAATATTTATTTTCAGAGGCAATTGGTACTCTCTATAAATGTCCCTAAAGTCTATAGCAACATTGGATCTAATGACAATTAATTAATGTCAGTAAGGCTCTAGCACTCTTCGTTTATTGCCGATAAAAACTATTTTTTATAGTGTATTTTGTACATTTGTTAGGTTCAAGAAAACTTGATCTCTTATTATGTCCAAAAAGAAGAGACGAATAAATATGGCAAATTAGTTAACTTGCGATAAAAGAAGTGAACTAATTGTCTCTATACTAATATTCTAGGAAGAGTGCAATGACATACAAAATGTATGTACCTAAGAAAAAACAATCAAAATAATATACTAATTGTGGCAAGCAAGAGAGCAATCATTTTGGTTCTTTTGACAAACTTCATCATTGGTTTTGTATTAGTTATCACATATTTGTTGTTGTGTGCTATCAAATATAGCACAACCCCCAAACAATTTTCCCAAAAAGTATAGATATGAAGAAACCTGTAGAAAGGGACAAAAGTGAAGATAAATTTTCAAACATCCTCAATGAAATTTTTAACAACGATTAAGCTTCATTAAAATAGGAGGAAGAAAACTTTGAGGAATGAAACACACTTCATAAGAAGCTTAATTAATATATTTGAATTTGACTCCCCTATAGCGAAAAAAACCCACAAATAATAGTGGCAGAAATAAAAGTTTTGTTTACTAAAGAACCAAATGTAATGAATTCAACCATTTCAGCAACGTTATGAGTCGTGGACTGAGAGGTGCAAGAGTAGTAATGTCGCATTGCAATTGAAATCAATTTTCTTTGTTTTTATTAAGAAACCTGTAGAAAGGGACAAAAGAGAAGATCAATTTTCAATCATCCTTGCCGAAATTTTTAATAGAGTTAAAAAAAAGTCACCAAAATAGCAAAAAGAAATTGTCATAGTTACATGAATCACTATGACTTATAGTAAAGATCAAGCTCCATGAAAAAGGAGGAAGAAAACTTTGAGTAATGAAACAAACTTCAAAAGAAGCTTAATTAATGTATTTGAATCTGACTACCCTATAGCGGGAAAAAACCTAAAAATAATAGTGGCAGGAAATTTCTCTATTTATAAACAACAAAGGGTAGTGTGAACAAATGCTTATTGTTACTTATCAGAAAGGTCACAACTCTTTGGAAAAGTTACAACCCTTTGGATTGGTGAAAACCTTTCATAAAAGTCGCAACTTTTCATAAAAGTCACAATTTTTCATAAAAGTTGAAAATTTTCATGAAAAGGTAAGGCTAGTTTTTTTGGAAATAAATCAATTAAATAGAAATTCTGGTTTGTGGTGGTGCCACGTAGGTGGGCCGAGGGTTCTCTTTTACCTATATATATAATAACACAAAATTATAAAAATACATCAATATTTTGAAATAATTACAAACAAGATTAAAGAAACTCATAGAAAATAAAACTTCTAACATTATACAAGTATAAATAATCTAACATCTTAACCTAATAATAAAATAATCATTATTTCTAGAAAGATATTTCTATCATACTATACGATTTACCCCAAAAGAAAATAATCAATAAAACTTACAACTATTATAATAAAAACATCACTCTATCATGAATATAAATAAAATTACTTTCAAAGAGCTAAATAAAATATGATAATTTTGAGACATATGACAAAACCACGAAGACCAATCATAAGTGAAAAAATAAAATTTCGCTACGTATTTTAAAAAGAAATGTTATGTAATATATAATCACCTTCATAGTGTTACAAAATAGTAAAGATGGGATACAACAACTTGTTGTTTGAGTTACTCTCAATCTTCTTATCTCTATAGATTAAAAAGTTACTAAGTTTCATTCAATTCAAGAATTATGAGGGTCAACAATGTTAACTAAAAAATTTAATATATGATTTGTGCATGCTTAGGGCGTACAGTCGGGCGCTTAGAGCGTAAGTCTTATAGAACTAAGCCCCACACTTGAGTCTCTGGGAGTTTTGCTAGAGCCCCACCTCAGGGCGAGTCCCAACAGTCTTTTAGAACATTGGGCCAAGCACATGGAAAAATACTTTTTTTAAAATTTGAATGGCGGTGAGATTTGATCCAGGACCTCTATCTCATCTGATACCATGTTAAAGTGTATGACCATCTTATCTAAAAACTTAAGTTATTAGAGAGAGCATCTCAACAAAATCTGAAATGTTCATCTTTTACCTTAAACCCAAATATGAAAATTCACCCAAAACCACCTTAAATCTTCTCAAAACTCCCCAAAATTTGAGATTTAGACTCTTCAAAAGACCCCAAACAAAATTCAATAACACCCACTTAAAATAAATCACTCTTTTAAAAATCCAATAACACCACTTCATTTTTTGTTTATAGTTTTCACACATTTTTGAATGAAAAATAACCAATAAAAGTCCTCCAATTTTCTTAAGAAATAAAATAAAATAAAATAAAAACTAATGGATTTTATCGATTTTCTTTTTGTAAAAAATAAAATCATTGATGTGATTGATTTTGTCTGTCAATTTTAGTCCATCGATTTTTTGCATTTTAAATAATGTATATATAATTTTTCTTATGATACCGAAAAATAGGAAAAATAATTAGAGAGAGAATGAATGAATAAGGTAGGGATGTTGATGTCCAATTACAGGGAATTTTAAAACCAAAATATCAAGTTTAATAAGCTTTGTCTCATGAATAAAACTTTCAAACTATTGATCTTAAAGATCTACTCACGAGGTCAAAATTTCAAGACCATTTACTTTCAAGATCCTTCGGTGTAACTTCCCGTTTTAATTATTTTTTATCTTTACAAGTATTATTATACAACATTTATCTATTGGACCCAAGAAAATAGTAAGACCCGCACATGACTAGACTTTAGGCTTTACCATCCAAAATTATGATATTGGGATAAGACTTCTGGGAGTTCAAATTTTTTAATATTTTTTTAGAATAGTAATATTTTTTATGTACTTCCTAAATTGTGGACTAAAAATTTTCTTTGAAAATAAAAAAAATCATGAAAAAACATTAGATCACAGTCTAAAATTTTGTAAGCAATTATAAATACTAGATGATATTTTAATGCTTTGTCTATAAAATTAAGCAATATATGATCAACTATTAAACCAGAGTCCAATATTTTTTTAAACGACTTTTTTTCAAAAGTTATATTGTTTTAATTTCAATTTTAAAAATAAAATATAAATGCGGGCATATAAAGGATATTTTCCCAAACTAGCCGAAGATGTGGCTTTTGGGCTCAATAAATAAGTCCCGCACAATAATATGACTTCTCAGTACGTGTCCAGTTAATTTTAATTTATTAGATTTAATTTCTACTTATTTTCAATCTCAAAAAGGTATTCTTATGTCCTTATTTATGTGATAATATCATTGAGAAAATGACATAAATAGTCCCTCAACTATAGGAGTAGGTCTAAAATGGTCCCTGAACTATACACTTAACGGATTTAGTCCTTGAACTATTCAAAAATTTGTCAGTTTTTGGTCCCCTTTAACTATACACTTATTGATTTTAGTCTCTTAACTATAAACTTACCGATTTTAGTCCTTTAAGTATTCAAAAACTTATCAAGTTTGGTCTTTGTCCAT